AGAGAGAGAGAGAGAGAGAGAGAGAGAGGATGACGATACGAGTCCGCCGATGCGTTTCGAAAGTGAACAACCTCCTCCGTGGAAGCATTTAGCGTCGAAGGGTATCGATGCGTGCATGAAAGATGCGCGACTTGGCCGATGGTCGTTCATAAAAAGGTGCACGCAATGCACCTCGCATGAAGCACGCGTACGCCACGCGACCCTTCAGGCCAGTTTTCATCGTACTTGTATACTTAGTGCGTTACTATCCTCCTACAGTATTTCACTTTCTCTCTGCGAGTGTCGCACTCAGAGTCTCGACGCAGAGGGTCTGGTTTGAGACCCATCTTGGTTGTACGTTGCAATCCTTATTTTTCCTTAGCCTCCGGGATTTTGTTTTGTATATGGTATGTTACCGTGCCTAAAAAAGAATTGCACGCTTCAGATTCAGGATTTAGGATCTCGAAAGGAATCATCGGTTTTTCTCGTGTAGAGAACGAATGTTTTGCGATATTAATAATTTGAGGTATTGAAATTGAATTGAAGAAAAACAAGCGTCTCAAAACTTCGAAATTCGTTTTCTCAAATGTTTGGTATAGTACCTAATACTTTTTGGTATAGCACGTAATATATTCGTAACAAAAGATGTCCAAATAGTTTCCTTATTAATAGTAATTAAAACTCTTGGATTTTTGTTTAATTAGAGTTCGACTTGCAAATGGATGCAATGCCGGGTAGAGGGAAATTCTTTTGCTAATGTCAGTACTAACACAAAAGAAGAGTTTTGTCAAGTAGCGGAAGTCTGCACAGATTACATTGATTTTATAAACCACACAGTGTATATAATCAGACATTTTCTACCGTCTTATCATCTACTTCTGTCCATTCATTGCTCTTGTAAAACATGATTCCATTTCCGAAAATTACAGTCTATTCGTCGCTGTATGTTCCACGCTCCACCACAGTAATTTAATTGTTGTCACAGTGCGAGACTAATCTCGTCCTGATTCATCCTCAAAAAAATTCCTAAACTATCTTTATTTCGAATGATTCACTTCACTCTGTAATTTCTACCTGAACGTGAAAGCTAAAAAAGAAAGAAAAAAAAAATTTTAAAAAGATAATAATAACGAAAGAATAAGAAGAGTGGACACGGCAGTCAAGGAACCTCAAACCTTCTCTACCTTCTCAAATCGAATCCTGTCGCGTGAAAGAAACGGACGACGTTTCGAAGAGTCGTTGTTATCGGAGGCCTGTGTAATCCTCCGTCGTCGATCGAATCCTTCCGCGATAGAGAAAGAGAAAGAGAGAAGGGGAACAAGTGATCCGAACGGCGAAAGTATTAAACGACGGAAGGAGATTAATGGAGAACGGTCGCGGAGAAGATCCGGCAATACGTGACAGGATGTGAGCGACACTTCCTTTTAAGCCCTATAATAAGCCGTCGATCTGTTGCCCGTCACACCTGCCGTGCCCTCCTCTGCTTAACATGCACGCTATAATTGCAAAGCATACGAGAACCAGATCGTTCCATTAAACGCGAAATCCTATCGAATGTGAAATTCCTCGAAGTCCCTTTACTCGAATTTCCCGTTTTGCGAACTTCGGTGAATTTCTTGATTCGCACGGACACTCAAACGAATTAAAAGCTCGATTGAAAGATGAACTAACTAAAAGAAAAAAAATTGAATTTTTCTCTGTTGCAGTGGTGATGCACAAAGACAAGGAAGAAAATTCGCACCACGATTCGCATTACCGAGCGAGAGAGTTGGCCGCGTTTGCTGCGTACGACCATCATCATCTCGATGGCGAAATGTTCCTCCAGGTGAGTTTTCAACTATCGTCTTCTGACGAAAATTGACTCCCCCTCTTGAGGAAGTTGTTTTTATCGAAATGAATAACTCGCTCGTCGATCACTGTGAAGTCACTCTGCCAAAATCCTGAAGGAAAGGTCCTTCTTTCGAAGGATGATCATTACTTCTCTTTCGCCAAATAATCAATGTACGTAAAAAATTCCTTCGTTTACTGACGTAAACTTGTCACGAGCTAATAACTGCATCGAACCCCGTTAAAGTCATAAAATTTCGTCGCCATTTTTCATGCTTGAAATATGTCGAAATCTCTTCACAAACTAGAGGAACAACTCCCAAAGTACACTCGAGCCGATGCTGCGAATCGAAAGTTTCGGTCACTGGCAACGAGAGGCTGCAAAGAAAGAGGCGAATATGACGACGGTGTTGGGAGGGGGACGGGGCGAAATTAAATCATCGCGAGTGAGAGGAAAAGACAGGAAGAGGCGAAGAAGAGCCGAGCGGGGAGAGATATCCGGCTGATGAACCGGCTATGAAACCGAGGCGTACGAGGTGTCTATTCCTCCAAAGTATGGAAGGGTATATACACGGATTAATGGCGGTGTATCATGCGAGGCTATTACGTTCCCTTTCCTGCGTTTTAGCTGCACACACACACACACACATACACACACGTGCGCGCGCGGGAGAAACGGAGCGAGGGTGAGGCTATCATAGTGGGAGATACGATAGCCAAGACGCTTTGGTGGGGAACCGTGGAGCACTTTGGTGGGGAACACAGTGGGGGTAGAAGCGATATTGCTCGCACGTACGAACCGGTACCCGCGATCCCATGCGATCGAACGATTCCTGCCAGCATCTATAACGGCCGGTTATTAATTGCTCGCTGGTTAATTGCGTTACGTAGCTCGTGCCGCAAGCCTGATCCCTTCGCGGGACATTCTGACAGCTTGGAACGCGAGCCGCCGCCATTTTTCCACACGTCGCGCGTCGTCACGATGCTTGAAACGACGTGTTGGATGTTTTTGATGAATTCCTTCTGGTTCTTGTCCTCTTTATGATTTAGATTCTCCTTCTTTTTTTAAGAAATTCGTTGGATGAAAATATTAATTTAGTAGGAATGATATTATAAGGTAGTGGTTTAATGAAGGAAAAGGGAGGTGAACTGTTATGTTAGATTAATGATGGAGGAAATAGGAGCATTATGTATGTTTAGTAAAAGAATTGTCGTTGTAGAGGTTCGTTCAGGATATTGGAAATGTTATTTATTGTACCATTGAGACGTTAAAACATTCAAGGAAATCTAGCAAGTGATCACAAGATGAAAACACACTTTCTTTCGAACGAAAGGATAAGGAAGTTTAAAGCGAAGCGTTAAGCGAGGCTCATAAAATAAAATACTTCATACCTCGTAGATTAAATAAATTTGTATGAAACTAACAATCTTCGATGCTCTTTTCGAACAAACACGTAACCTAAGATTTTCCATCTGAGTTCAAGCAAGTTGAACACGTACCTTCTTTGCAAGCAGAACGAAAATGGCAATCTATCGCCATTTGATTAATTAGAGACACAGCTTCCAGACCCAAAACATTAAAGAACAAAGAAAGAATGTAATAACAGCGATCAGTTTCTACGGAGGAACGTCGGTACTGCCCGTCTAGAGAGAGGCGAATCGGATAAAAATTTAATCCGCAAACACTTTCAATAATTCCACGAGATAGCAACCAAGGGGTAGCAGAAATTAACCGTTCAGCCGGGCCTCGTATTTTCTGTAATTCGTAGAGTTCCTTGAACCTGTCTCCTTCCGAGGACTTCCTTCGGCCTCCTACGCCTTTCTTCTTCCCCTTCGCCATTGGTCGCCTCTGCCTTCCACCTCCCCCTCCTCTTCTCTTCTCTTCTCTTCTCTTCTCTGCTCTTCTCTTCTATGCCCACGTTATACACCGTTTTGCCGATCCTCATAAAGTTCACGAAGCCCGACAGTAAATCCGGTTTATGACAAGCTGACCGCCACCACCGGACACTCTCGAAATTACGGCTGAACGATCGAATTTTTATACTCCACCTTACCAACGCCAATTACAGCGTTTCAGGAGGGGGTGACTGGAACCAGAGGACGTGGTCTTTTCCAGCTTAGAGTTCTATGGCTCCCTTCGTATAGATAAAGCACGGCGAAGAAAAAAGAAAAAAAATTCGGTGACTTTGTAAATGCATTTTGCAAGCTTGTGGGGCGTTCAAGCTTCGTGAAGTTGAATTAGTAGCCACAGAGTTCTAGCATTCGCTTTCTAATTTTAGGCGAAAACGCATGAAAATACAGATAAAATTACGTCGCCACCATCTAGAAGCAAACACGCGCGAGCGCGTGTTTCATATTGAAATTTTCCAAGAATTTTTACGAAATCTTGGACAATAACGTTGAAAGATCATGCGAAGAGGCTGGAGTCGGATCGAAATCCGATTTCCAGCAGCGCGCCGTTAAATCGTAGTAATTTTTCGTAGCGTTTCGTCCGAGACGATTGAAACGAGGGGGAAGGAGTCGGCCGCGGCCGGAATGATAAAAAGAATATCGTTGCATAATTTACGCGAGCGAAACGCGAGTCCCTTGGAATATTTAAGGCAATTTCGCAGATAGCGATCGCTCGCGGCTGCCTCGCGGAGATAGCGTGCAAACGGATACTTTTCCCGGTGTGTGGATACTTACGATTTTCTCGGCGGCACGCGGATGCATTACTCGTGGCAAAGGTTTCCTAACGCGAGACAGTTACTGCGCGTTTTCCGACACTTTCGGCCCGGTTTTAACCGGGCGATGGCGAGTTCTGCCGGGCGACCGGCCACGCCGTAAATACTCGGCCGCAGCTCGGTTCCAAAAGACTTTCCCTCTCACCCCCGTTCCCTATGCTCGTCGCCTTTTTCGCGAATTAAACGCGAGTTAAGTACGTAACGAGCCCCGGCCCCGATATCTTTACAGCCGATCTCGATGAACAATTACTTATTAATAGTCGCGCTTAATGGGTCACGCGACCCATTTAATCACCGTAATAATCCTCCGTTCACATTTTTTTTCAGCCGATTTATGCTATCGGAATTGGAAGTCACCGCCGGCATCGGAATATTTCGAAGATTGCCGGGGGCACAAATTTCTGTTACCTGTAATTTCGTCTTGGGAAGTCTTTAAAGTCCTTCAAAATTAGAATTCTGTAAAGATTGTATACATATATGATAGAACTTATGGTTTAATGTCTAGGGGATGTTGACTCTACCAAGTTCATAATTTATTCCCTCTGCGTTGTTCGACGTTGTAATTCCAACAGATCAATATCAAAGAATATTCACCTTTGAAAAATGGAACACCGTACGCAAAAGTCCATCAATTTTTTTCACAAGATTGTTTCTGCCATTTACTTTATCCGTGCGCAAACCTCTTTTCGACAGTGTGGCGAAAGAAACCAGTTCAATTGAAATCTAACGGAAGGAAAGAAAGAAAGAATTATTAGAAAAAAGAGAAACAAGGATGGAGTTTTATTCTTCCAGCGTGCATCGTTCACCGCGGTCGCGGTGTCAAGAAAAGTACGTTCGAGTTTTGCTGAAGGAAAGCGAGAAGAGAGAGGCGCGCTCTCTCGACGGGGGGCGCGCGTATCGTGCGCTTTGCTCGGGGTGATAATTTGCAAGAGATGGCAGAAATGGATTGGCGAACTACGTTCTTCTCGCCGATTGAAAAATTCCCTTCGCGCGGGCCAACCGTGAACGCGTGTTTTACTTGGTTTATCCCCGACGATTTCATCGTGCTCCAATACCAAACTGATCAACGTTGATGGGATGTTTGTATTGGACCTGGTACGAAACTCTACCGTTATTGTTAACGAGAAAGCTATTGGCTTTAAATCGATAATTAAAAGACACGAATAGCTGAACGAATAAAATATCCAAGCTCGAAGGATATTTCGGCTACGCTTGAGGAAAGATTCTGGAATTTTCATTCAGATTCTGAGGTTTAATTCTAACATTTGGCTTCACGATCTTTGAAGATCAAATCGCTTAGATATTTTGAAATTGAACGCTCTGATCAAAGAGCACCCGACTAAAGTCCTTTCAAATTGAGTATTTCCCTCAGCTCGAGCAACTCTCAACTAACGTATCGCCAAATTTGATCGTTTCCCGGGGTTCTGCAACCGAATAACCGCGAAAGAATCGACCGAGAATCTCGGCTCGAGATTGGAGAAAGACCAGTGAGACGTAGGCGGCAATTGGAAGTTGGTTGGCAAGCAAGTAGCGTCTACGCTCGGTGCAGCGTGCGGCAGGGCAGAGCTTGAGAGAAGGCAGCAGGAAGAAAAATAGCTCGGTTATGATTACGGGTTACCGGTGGCGGGGGTTGTTCCTGACCACGACCCTCTTTTACCGCTACTGCGGTGTGGCTGGCGTATTAATGCGATACACGATAGCCTGCTGGCTATTAAATAAAAAATATGAGAGCAAAATGGCTGCTTTCGCGGCGATACGTCACCGAGAGGCGTGATTTGTACCGAAGCGCTGGCTAAAAATCGCCCTTCCCCCGTCCCCCGGCGGCCGATTCCGCCGCGCTCGGCAAAAACCGCTCCCGGGACCTCCGAGTGAATTTCCGAGCCGCGTTTCGTCGGCTAATGCACAGGTTGCCGATTCACCATCGATGAATTCTTAACGAGCGAGCACCGTGCGAACGATCGAGGGCCAAACGATCGGACGCCTTTTGGGGAAAGTTTCGTTTGGAGGTGATTCTCGGTGGTGAACGAAGATGATAGGCCGAACGTCGGCGTGGAGAATCGGCGGCCGTTTTGTTACGCTGCTTTGTGAAATGTAACATGCGAAAATTTGCGCAAGACAGAGAGAGTTAGATCCTGTTGGAAGAATTACAAGGTCCATTATAACACTATAACGTTGAATGAAATTCATTGAATAATTTTTACTATTGCTTGTGCTAACTCTGTCACCAGTTATTAATAGGTTCAGAGGAAAAAATAATTTGCGTTCGATAATTTCGAAAATCTGTAGAAATAGTTGAAGCTTTAGTAAAGAAGCTTTGTACATACCACAACATACTGAGCACGGAAATAAATAAAATAATTACAATATTCTTGACGACGATATGTAGAGAACACTTTCTTGGATTATCCTCCAAGCTTGTCCACTTATGAATGAAAATCAGCGTTCTCCACAAGCAAAACTTGCCGTGGGAAGGATTCTCTTTTAGATCAGGTTGAGGTCAATGAGGAACTAGACTTTGAAGTTTCATCCGGCAAGGACAGGTATAATTCGGTCCTCTTCGTTAACATAAGCGTTACATAAGAAATTCACTTGGCGTACTTGCTTTATGTAAGACTTGGACTCCACTTGATCTAACCGAATAAACAAAGCACTGGCGCTGGTTAGTGTTCGTCAGACGCCAACGTTGAGTAACGTTGTTACGCGAGAAGGGTGCCATTACTCAATTGGTCGTTTCGCGAGATTGAAAATCAAGATTTGGTCGAAGGGAGATTTGGTTTTTAAAGAATTCGTGCGAACGAACCGGCAGCGAGAGAAACGACAGGAAAACAGACAAGACGAAGTTGAGCAATCAGCCAGGAGGCAAAAGGGGCAGACATGCAAGCATCAGCAACAAGTAAGAGCTTGAATCTGCTGCTCAGGTCGACGGTGGAACTCGCGCCACTTTACAGATCCACTTCGCCATTGAATTCTCGTTTTTAATTATTTCTTACACTTGTCTTGACAATCGAAAATTATCCATTGGATTCGTCGTCGTGTTAGAAAAATTTCTTTCAAATTGATTTACTTGACAAGTTTGTCTTTCGAGTACGATTTCTTCATTTTCCATCGTTGTGTGTAACGAACTTATATTCTCATGAATGTAATCGAAAAAAATGAAGCATAGATAGGCAACTGTCTGTTTTGTCTATTAAATATTCTAACTAGTGTGCTTATTTCAATTAACAGTATGGGAACACAGGTTTATCATGGAACGCACAGGATAAGAATTACGTATAGCACGGCGAGAAATGAACAAAATAAAAATTATCGAAATTAAAGTTCGTAAAATAGAATGAAATAAAACAAAATGAAAAAAAAAAAATAAAAAGAAAAATAAGATTGGGTTCGATAAAATAAAAAGTTCGTAAATTAAAATATCCACAAAATTTGGAATAAAATAAAATCAGTAATTGGACAACTAAAAGTGATGATACCAATACGCCAAATTTTTGACTATTTCATATTTTCATGCATCTTTGCGCCTTTTAACTGTCCGCAAGCAACCAATAACAAGTTCACGCAATTCCTGCATAAAAATTCAAAGCGCAACCACTTTGGCAGAATGGTTGAGAAGGAAGCGGTGCGGCGAGGCGCTCGAAATTGCTCAAAGTCGCACGCGTTTCGTTACTCCGTCCGAAGAGCCGGTATCGAGATTAATCAAACAAGATAGGCGGGCAATCTGCACTTGCGATCGAAAACCGTCGCGCAAAGAGGAGCACCGAGTGATTCGACAGAGGCAGGTGTCGAAACTCGACTCGGAGAAAAAGGCGAGCGTGCATCGTCCATAAGGAAGTGGCAGCCTGTCGGCGATTAAATGAACTTTTATTTTCATATTGGCCGCGTTTCACGCCAGACTGGTGGATGCTGTCTCGTTAATGATCGCACCGTGTACCGTGAATGATCTCGTGTACAGCGAATCGCACGGAAAATGTATTGCAAACGAAGTTTACGAGGTGAAGATATTC